GCCTCGACCTGCTGGGCTCCGGCTATCCTTCCACCTCAGCCTTCCAAGTAGCTGGAACTACAGGTGCGCACTACCACACCCAGCTAGTTTTTGATTGTAGAGATGAGGTCTCGCCAAGTTGCCCAGGCAGGTCTCGAATCTGTGGGCTCAGGCAATCCACTCACCTCGGCCTCCCAAAGCACGGGATTACAGGCTGAGCCACTGAGCCTGGCCGACATTCTTATAAATATTAAGTAAACAAGAGTGTGGTTCTTGACTGAGGATTCTATCATAAGACGAAAATAGAATATATACCTTTGAAACCAGGAAAAGAAAATTTGATCTATCTAAAAGAAACAAGGAAAATAAGCCCGGCAAATAAAAAGTAGTAAGATATATGGGAATTATGAAATAAGTTAGCAAAAATAAGTCATTATATAGTAATGACTGTAATAAATGGAAACATGTTAAATTTGTCAACTCAACACTATAAACCAAAAGAAAACCAAATTAGTAAACATAACTTATAACAATGGAGGAATTTAAGGCAATATAGGCATTATATTGTAAAGAACAAAAAAAGACAATGTTTTATAGACAGCAAAAATCATCCAAAGTCCCAGCTAATCAGGAGTCTGAGGCAGAAGGATCACCTGAACCAAGGAGATCCAGGTTGCAGTGAGCCGTGATCAATGCCACTGCACTCCAGCCTGGGTGACAGAGTGAGACTCCAACTCTCAACAAACAAACATATAGTTATAGTCCATCAATAGGGAACTGGTTAAATACATTTAGTTTACATACACACTGTGAAATACTTTACAGTCATTGAAAGAATGATTTAAATCGACATCTTTTGATCTAAGGAAAGACCATTAAGTACTTACATCTTACTGGGGAGGGAGTATTAAGAAGTTTTGACTAGTAGAATCCCAGTGTTGTAAGAACACCAACACTCACATGCACGGACTTGTATACGTCCATAAGCATGGCAGTAGTAATGAAAGGCATATTGGTTACTGAGAGGAAACAGGCAGAACAAGGGTAGGGAAGATTATTATCATTTTCTTCAAATCTTTTAACATGTTTTCAAGGATTGTAGAGACGTGTTATTTGGTCAAGAGCAGTGGCTCATGCCTGTAATCCCAGCACTTTGGGAGGCAGAGGCAAGAGGATTGCCTTGAGCTCAGGGGTTCGAGACCAGCCTGGGCAACTTGGCAAGACCTCGTCTCCACAATAAATCAAAAAATTAGCCGGGTATGTTGGCACACTCTTGCAGTACCAGCTACTTGGAAGGCTGATGGGGAAGGATTGCCTGAGCCCAGCAGGTAGAGGCTGAGGTGACCATGAGCATGAGCATGCCACTGTACTCCAGTCTGGGCAACAGAGTGAGACTCTGACTTGAAAAAAAAAAAAAAAAGAAATGTATTATTTGTATATCCTTTAGTTTTGATATAGCATTTCTAAAATGCTATATGGAAATGAATCATTATCATTCACATGTTCAAGAGCAGAAGTAGAAAATGTATTAATCATTGGGCTCTGTGGAGGTACACAGCATCAATTCACTGAGTGCTTATAAGTTTTTAAAGTCTGAATGTTCAATAAATATTAGATGAAAAAAATGAATGAATGAGCTGAAAGACTAAATGAGTGAATGCTAGGTGACTCAGTAAGTGAGATTACACTTTGGTCATAGCAATTACAAAAATGGAATAACAAAGGTCTAGGTGTGACAGACAATTCTGCGAAGATGTAGTAAAACAACAACAGAAACTCCTGAAAATAAATTATATCGCAACCTATTTCCATCTCACTTTAGGTTTGCCTTTTTCCTTACAGATGTGGGAAGCAGAAAGTAGGGAAGGTAATGAATGATCTACACAGTCAAGTGTCAAGAGAGGTCTTCATGGTCCCTCACCAACATCCACCATATTGCGCTATCACAGTGCCTGAAATTCTCCCATTAAAGCAGCGGTCTCCCGGGGCTCGGTGGCTCAAGCCTGTAATCCCGTGCCTTGGGAGGCCAAGGCGAGTGAATTGCCTGAGCCCGCGGGCTCGAGACCCGCCTGGGCAACTTGGCGAGAACTCATCTTTACAATAAATCCAAAAAATGAGCTGGGCGTGGTGGTGTGCGCCTGTAGTTCCAGCTACTTGGAAGGCTGAGGCGGAAGGATCACCTGAGCACAGCAGGTCGAGGCTGTGGTGGCCGGGAGCGGCCACTGCACTCCAGTCTGGGCGACAGAGTGAGACTCCGACTCAAAAAAAAAAAAAAAAAAAAAGCAGCAGTCTCCAACCTATTTGGCATCAGGGGCCAATCTCATGGAAGACAGTTTCTCCACCAACGGTAGTTGGGAGGTGGGAGGGAACATCAGGCATTAGATTTTTATAAGGAGCCGCAACCTAGATCCCTCGCAAGTGCAGTTCATAAAAGGGTTCCAGCTTCTATGAGAGTCTAATGGAGAGGCTGACCTGACAGAAGACAGAGCTCCAGTTGTGGGCCGCTCACCTCTTGCTGTGTGGCCTAGTTTCTAACAGGCCACGAATTGGTACCAGTAAGCAGCCCCAGGGTTGCAGATCCTGCATACGAGAGTCATCCCTTTAAGTTCCTTTTTTTCTAATGTTTTTCTAAGGGTACGTTAGATACAACACATTAATGGATATCCTCACAATAAAAATCAAATAAACATACAATAGAGAAATGGATATAAGGAAAGAGGAGAAGCTTTTTTAGAAAACCGGAAGCTTTAAGGATTTGTAGCAAAATTTCCCCACTTTTCCAGAATTAAGAAAAGTATAAATAGTATTAACAGCTTTAAACATTCGATAATGTTAAAGCTGTTGATAAAATGCAATCATTATATCAAAAAGTGCTTTTTTTTTTTTTTGAGTTGGAGTCTCACTCTGTCACCCAGACTAGAGTGCAGTGGCTGCTCCCGGCCACTGCAGCCTCGACCTGCTGGACTCCAGCGGTCCTTCCACCTCAGCCTTCCAAGTAGCTGGAACTACAGGCGTGCGCTACCACGCCCGGCTAATTTTTGATTTATTGTAGAGATGAGGTCTCGTCAAGTTGCCCATGCGGGTCTTGAACCTGCAGGCTCAGGCAATCCACTCACCTCAGCCTCCCAAAGTGCTGGGATTACAGGCTGAACCACCGAGCCCGGCTGCTTTTTTTTTTAAATGTTGTCCAGGATAGTTTCAAACTCCTGGGCTCGGGCAATCCTCCCACCTCAGTCTCTCAAAGTGTGGGAATTACAGGCATGAGCCACTGGGCCCGGCCAAAAGAAATACTTATACTTCAACACTAAGCAGGAAATTCTTACTTTCTTCCTGTCAGAGTCTAATCTTCCTGGAAAGATGTCATTGATCGCGATTTTCCCTTCCAGACGTCTCAAGGGTCTTTTTTGTTCCCAATATTTTTCTTCAGTTTGGGATGATCCTTGAGCAGCTTCTGCATAAAGATGTCGTAGCTGTTCCAGCTGCTTAGAAAGCATCTGAATTTCCTGCTGAAGACCTTTGGTTCTCTGTAAGAAAAAAAATATATATGTATTCCCCCCCCCAAAAAAAAAATATTAAAAGCTTCCTGATGGTTCATGGTCTCTATGTAGTTTTAAATGATGTGCAAGTTCTATTTATATAGACACTGATCGTAGTGACAATGTTACCAAGGAGATGAATAAGGAAGACTTTTAAGATTTGAAATAAGTTGGTTAAAAAAATAAATAGAAAGCTTTGATACACAAAAATAAGATACTTTAGTTAGTACTGAGAAATAAAGCTGGACCATGAATTTCAAGAGAACAGTGCATAAAAACATTAGGAACCCTAAACAGGCTACTGTGTAACAGTTTCCTCTAACACCGAGTCTAAGTAATATGCAATCGACCTTCAGTGTCCATGGGAGTCTGGCTCCAGGATATCCCAGGGATGCCAAAATTCACGAATTCCCAAGTCCCTAATACAGAATGGGGTGGTGTTTGTAGGTAACCTATCCTGTCCACTTTAAATCATCTCTAGATTACTTATAATACCTAACATAATGTAAATGCTATGTAAATAGTTGTTACACTGCATTGTTTGGGGGAAAACCACAAGGATAAAAGTTTGGACATGTTCAGTACAGACGTAATTTTATTTTATTTTTATTTTTTTTAAATAAAATAGCTTATGCTCAAATTTGTCAAAGTTACTAAGATAATTCTAAAAAGTAAATTCACTAGTTATGGGTTAAAATAAAAATTATCATCTCTATCATGCCAGATTCTTACATGGTCAATAACTCTGTTCTTCAGGTCTTTTCACCTTTGTTCACCTTCCTCGGTAGAACCAAAGACATCAGCCTTTCCTTAACTCCATTCCACAGTCCTCAACAAGCAGGGACCAATGCATCAATTCCATGGTGGTAAAAAGCTTTAAAAGATTCTTGTATTTGGGAATTTCTTCTAACTATTTTTTTTTTTTTTTGAGTTGGAGTCTCACTCTGTTGCCCAGACTGGAGTGCAGTGGCTGCTTCTGGCCACCGCAGCCTCGACCTGCTGGGCTCCAGCGATCCTTCCGCCTCAGCCTTCCGAGTAGCTGGAACTACAGACACATGCTACCACGCCCGGTTAAATCCCAAAGCGTGGGATTACAGCTGAGCCACCAAGCCTGGCTTCTTCTAATTATTTTAATTTTATTTTTATTTTTTTGAGTTGGAGTCTCACTCTGTCACCCAGGCTGGAGTGCAGTGGCATGTTCAGGGCCACCGCAGTCTCGACCTGCTGGGCTCAGGCAATACTTCTGCCTCAGCCTTCCAAGTAGCTGGAACTACAGGAGGGCACCACCATGCCCAGCTTATTTTTCGATTTATTGTAGGGACAAGGTCTCACCAAGTTGCCCAGGCTGGTCTCGAACCCCTGAGCTCAGATAATCCTCTCACCTTGGCCTCCCAAAGTGCTGTGATTACAGGCTTGAGCCATAGCGCCCGGTCAAAAAATATTTTTAAAAAATTGCGTCTGGGTTCAGGCAAGGACCATGGCAGACGGGCACATTGTCAAGATGGGGGCAGACTACAGCACCATGGTGGACCAGCGCCTACCCGAGTGCGAGAAGCTAGCCAAGGAAGAACGACTTCAGGAAGTTATTGTAACCCTTCTTTCTTTGGAAAAACAGTCTTGTACTGCTTCCAACAGTGTGTCTACATTCTGTATTTTAGTTGCAGTAGTGAGGATGTGCTACGAGGCTAAAAAATGGGATTTCCTGAATGAAAATATTATGCTTTTGTCCAAAAGGAGGAGTCGGTTAAAACAAGCTGTTGCAAAAATGGTTCAACGGTGCTGTACCTATGCTGAAATAACAGACCTTCCAATTAAACTTTGATTAATTGATACTCTACGAATGGTTACAAAAGGAAAGATTGATGTTGAAATTGAGTGTGCTCAACTAACTAAAACCTTAGCAACTATAAGAGAGCAAAATGGCGATGTGAAAGAGGCAGCTTCCATCTTACAAGAGTTATAGGTGGAAACTTATGGGTCAATGGAGAAGAAGGAGCCAGTGGAGTTCTTTCTGGAGCAAATGAGGCTCTGCCTCACGGTGAAGGATTACATCTGGACACAAACCATCAACAAGAAGATTAACACCAAATTTTTCCAGGAAGAAAATACAGAGAAATTAAAGTTGAAATACTATAATTTGATGATCCAGCTGGATCAGCACGAGGGATCCTATTTGTCTATTTGTAAGCACTACAGAGCGATATATGACACTCCCTGTATACAGGCAGAAAGAGAAAAGTGGCAGCAGACTCTGAAGAGTGTTGTGCTCTGTGTTATCCTGGCTCCTTTTGAAAATGAACTGTCAGATCTGGTTCACCGAATAAGTGGTGACAAGAAGTTAGAAGGCTGGGCTCGGTGGCTCAGCCTGTAATCCCAGCACTTTGGGAGGCCGAGGCAAGAGGATTGCCTGAGCCCAGGGTTTGAGACCAGCCTGGGCAACATAGTGAGGCCTCATCTCTAAAATAAATGAAAAAATTAGCCGGATGTGGTAGCGCACTCGTATAGTTCCAGCTTCTTGGAAGACTGAGGCAGGATTGCCGGAGCCCAGCAGGTCAACACTGGGGTGGCCGTGAGCATGCATGCCACTGCACTCCAGCCTGGGCCATAGAGTGAGACACCGACTCCTACAAAATAAAATAAAGCAAAACAAAATAAAATAAAATAAAAAGAAGTTAGAAGAAATTCCCAAAGACAAGGATCTTTTAAAACTTTTTACCACAATGGAATTGATGCATTGGTCCATGCTCGTTGGGGACTAGGGAATGGAGTTAAGGAAAGGCTGATGTCTTTGGTTCTACCGAGGAAGGTGAACAAAGGTGGAAAGACCCAAAGAACAGAGCTGTTGGACATGTAAGAATCTGGCATGATAGGGATGACAATTTTTATTTTAACCCGTAACTAGTGGATTTTCTTTTTAGAATTATCTTAGTAACTTTGGCAAATTTGAGCATAAACTATTTTATTTTGGGGCAACCCCTTCAGGTCCCCTTCCACTGTGGGAGCTTTTCTGTCCTCCCAATAAATCCTACTTTCTTTTTTTTTTTTGAGTTGGAGTCTCACTCTGTCACCCAGACTGGAGTGCAGGGGCTGCTCCCGGCCACCGCAGCCTCGACCTGCTGGGCTCCAGCGATCCTTCCGCCTCAGCCTTCCGAGTAGCCGGAATTACAGGCATGCGCTACCGTGCCCGGCTGATTTTTTGATTTCTTATAGAGATGAGGTCTCGCTGCCCAGGCGGGCCTCGAACCCGCGGGCTCAGGCAATCCACTCACCTCAGCCTCCCAAAGGCGTGGGATTACAGGCTGAGCCACCAAGCCCGGCTATAAATCCTACTTCCTAAAAAAATCCTAAAAACGAAAACCCTAACCCTAACTCTAATCCCCCGTTGGTTGAATTCATGGGTGTAGAAGACACAGATGTGGAGAGCTGACTGTACCTATCATCATTTGAACTTTAGGGTGAAAAGTCATGACATTTTACTAAAGTTATCTGGAGACAGATAAAATGCATCCACTTAAATCTGCTGATTCAATCATTTGATAGACTTGATCAGCAAGTTCAAATGAACTGGTCTGGTCATTTATTTTACTGCCCTGACTGAACTGACCAGTGTTGGGTCATCATGTAAACACTATCTTCACCATAGCAGTATTTTAAAGTTAATGTGTATTGAACTTATACTGAACTAAGCATTTATCATGTATTAAATCATTTAAGTCTTGCAATCACTCTATGAGGTAGAAACGGCCACCTTCCTCCATTTTACAAATGAAAATGAGGCACAGAGAAGGTAAGTAACCTGCCCAGTGCACACAGCTGGCAAGTAACAAGGCTGGGATTCATACCAGAGCTCTGAGCTCTTAACAATCATACTATACTACCCAATATAATAATGGAATAATATTTCCCATAATAATAAAAATGAAATCAAAATTATAACTTGGAGTCACAGAGCTTACGAAATTGGCTAATATTAAAATCAACATTATAAAAGAAACAAATTGGAAAGAATAACTTTTATATGTATACACTTACAGACTTCCAAGATTTCTCATTTGCACTGATTTCCAGAATCCTCTCTTTCAGAGCCTCCTCTGTGGCTGGTATGGGGACAGCACTGTCGCTCAGAAGAGTAGCCAACTGACCAAGGAAATTGTGATATTGGAATTGTGCAGTTTTCGTTCCCCAGTCAAATGAATATTGAGGTCTGTCTAACTTAGATGTTGGGTTTTCTTTATGGATCAAATCTTGCTGACATTTATCCCAAATTTTCTGTCCATCTTTTGGTCCTTTGGAGGGAAAGATGTTGTCTCTCTCAAAGTTCTTGGCCAGGATAGCTTCACCCTTATCCTAAATATGCCAACACACAGGTTAAGCTTCCATTTGGAATTTAATACAGATACATCAACTTCCCTTCTTTTAAAATATAAATATTGTCACTACACAAACCTTCAGGAGAAAAGAACCTAAATACAAAGAAAGATTTAAAGAGTAACAAGAGGCTGGGCACAGTGAACCACACATCTATAATCCCAGTACTTTGGAAGGCCAAGGCAGGAGGGTTGCTTGAGCCCAGGAGTTCAAGACCAGTCTGGGCAACATAAGAAACCCTGTCTCTACAAAAAAGTTAAAAATTAGCTGGGTGTGATGGTATGCACCTGTAGTCACAGCTATTTTGGAGGCTGAGGTGGAAGGATCGCCTGACCCTAAGAGGTTGAGGCTGCAGTAAGGTGTGATCGTGCCACTACACTCAGCCTGGGTAACAGAGTGAAACTCTGACTCAAAAAAAAAAAAAAAAAAAAGAGTAACAAGAGAGACAAGGGCATACTCAAAAGAGCAAACTGGAACAAGAAGTGTTGAAATGATGGTGTGGAGAACACAAGAAAATTAGCTTAGAGAAGCAGCTAACCAGACAGCCCCAACTGATGAGGGTAAACTCACTACAGAAAAATCTGAGCTCATAAATGTAGAAGGAATGATAGAATTTAAAAATTAGCCAGGTGTGGTGGCTCATACCTGTAATCCCAGCACTTTGGGAGGCAGTGGTGAGAGGATTTCCTGAGCCCATGGGTTTGAGACCAACTCGGGCAATTTGGCGAGACCTTGTCTCTACAATAAATCAACAAATTAGCCAGGTGTGGTGGTGCATACCTGTGGCTCCAGCTACTTGGAAGGCTGAGGCTGAAGAAAGGATTACCTGACCCCAGCGGGTCGAGGCTGCACTGGCAGTGAGCATGCTACTGCACTCCAGCCTGGGCAACAGAGTGAGACTCCGACTCAAAAATAAAAAAAAAAAAAGTTATTACTAACTGGATTTGAGCTTTTCTTAGAACATGGTTTCTGTGTTTGGGGTAATTCTCTACTGCTTCTGTGATTTCCTGCACTGGTTGATCCACATTCCAGCCTGCAAGGTGGGTCAAGTCTGTTGTACCTTGTCAGTTGGGTAAAGAATGTGTACAGATAAGAAAGATGTCTGAATGCTTACCCTATTTTAATTTACACTGCCTACAAGAATCTTTTCCATCTATGTCTAACCTGCCTCAGGAACTCAGGGAAAGGAGAAGTACAAGCATTTTTTTCCCTTGTCTTAGTCACAGTGGAAGCAGGATGATTACAGATTGAGGCTGCGGTGAGCCATGATTGTGCCACTGCACACCAGCTTGGTGACAGAGTGAGACCCCGTCTCAAAAATAAAATGGGGATTACTTTAAACTACTGTGAAAGTAGTTGCTGAATTTTGTTAATGGAACCCTTCGCTTTAATTGGGTCTTATAAGACCTTGTTTTACATGCAGATTATATAATATGCTGTTGTAGTTGAAGGATTTTAAAGTAAACGCTCACCACTTCCTTGATACTGGTCTGTCTCCCTACTCTACAAACCTCTGTGATGCTGTCCACTCACCACGTGTCTGCCAAGACAAGGCTCACGTCCACTCCTAAACCCAACTCACGCCATCATTCTAGATGTCAACGGCTAATGTAGATGACCCACCAAGTAACTTAGATTTGTGATTTCTAAGCCTCAGTTCCCATGGCTTTCACCTACACCCTGCTGTTCAGCCATCTACACCTACATTCACAAACCTAGATTTCAGCAGCAACAGGAACTCACCCACACCACAAATGTAAATGCCTGCATGTCACCCACTAGCTTTCACATCCCCATTCCCTCCAACCTTCTCTTCCGTACCACAGAGCCCTCCAGTCCTCCTCACACTCTCTCCACGCAACAAAAAGGCATCCAGTCCACCATGCCGTGCTGCTTCCTTGGATCCTCCACTAAGAAGAGGAACAACAAAACCGGGCTCGGTGGCTCAGCCTGTAATCCCGCGCCTTTGGGAGGCTGAGGTGAGTGGATTGCCTGAGCCCGCAGGTTCAAGAGCTGCCTGGGCAGGCGAGACCTCATCTCTACAATAAATCAAAAAATCAGCCGGGCGTGGTAGCGCATGCCTGTAATTCCGGCTACTCAGAAGGCTGAGACGGAAGGATCGCCGGAGCCCAGCAGGTCAAGGCTGCAGTGGCCCGGAGCGGCCACTGAACTCCAGTCTGGGCGACAGAGTGACGCTCCAACTAAAAAAAAAAAAAAAAAAAAAGAGGAACAACAAACTAGTCAACATTTAACAATTTGGCCAGGAATGGTGGCTGATGCTTGTAATCCCAGCACTTTGGGAGGCTGAGGTAGGAGGATTATTTAAGCCCAGGAGTTTGAGAACAACCTGGGCAACATAGTAAGACCTCGTCTCTAAAAATATTCAAAACATTAGTCAGGTGTAGTGGTGTGCACCTGTAGTCCCAGTTACTTGGGAGGCTGAGGTGGAAGGATCACAAGCCCAGGAGGTCGAGGCTGCAGCGAGCTGTGATAAGGCCCTCCAGCCTGGGCAACAGAGTGAGACTCTTACTTAAAAAAAAAAAAAAAAGTTACCACTTATCTCCTGGAGTAACTCAAGGTAATAAAAATCCTGTTTCTAGGCTGGGCACAGTGGCTCATGCCTATAATCTCAGAATTTGGGGAGGCTCAAATGAGGATCACTTGAGACTAGGAGTTCCAGATCAGCCTGGGCAACATAGTGAGACCCCCATCTCTATAAAAACAAACAAACAATTAATCAAACAAAAAACTTAGCCAGGCTTGGTGGCACATGCCTACAGTCCCAGCTACTCAGGAGGCTGAGGTGGAAGGATCAGCTGAGTCCAGGGGGATGAGGCTGTGGCAAGCTGTGATAGTGTCACTGCATTCCAGCCTGGGCAACAGAGTAACAACCTGACTAAAAAAATAAACATTTTTAAAAACTCTTGTTTCTTCAAAACTCAGCCAACATTTGTTCTCACCTTCATCACAATAATATCCAAGGAATCTTCTTGTCCCTTCATATGCATGTACGGGGTGAATCTGTTAGTCTCTGAGAACTTTTTCTCCAAAAAGTCTGCTTTTCGCTCTGCCTTTTCTCTTTCAACCAGATGTACTCTGTGTAAGATATCAGTAGGTAATAGCATCACGAAACCAACACAACCAATTTTCAAATTTCAATTAAAAAATGGTTAAGAAAAGGCCAGGAGCAGTGACTCATGCCTGTACACCAAGCACTTTGGGAGGTCAAGACAGCAGTATCCATTGAGCCCAGGAGTTCCAGACCAGCCTAGGCAACTTAGTGAGACCTCATCTCTACACAGATTTTTAAAAATTAGCTGGGTGCCGGGCTCGGTGGCTCAGCCTGTAATCCCGTGCCTTTGGGAGGCTGAGGTGAGCGGATTGCCTGAGCCCGCGGGTTCGAGACCCGCCTGGGCAGGCGAGACCTCATCTCTACAATAAATAAAAAAAAAAAATCAGCCGGGCGTGGTAGTGTGAGCCTGTAGTTCCAGCTACTCGGAAGGCTGAGGTGGAAGGATCGCCGGAG